ACGAGCTACACAAAGGATGATTGATATGCATTCCTCACCTGGCCTTCCTCCCATCCCCAGTTCTGACAACCCAACCGCACATTCTACATCCAGAGTTTAATTTTATCCGTGTTGATTCATTCTCTCATTCATCTGGTCCTTGCCTTCCATCTGAGGTAAGCTGAGCTGGAAGGAAGGACCCAGCCTGGTGCATTGCTGGCATTTTTGCGGTTAGCCTTTTGGTAAACAGTCAGGAGACACATGGGATGGGGGTCACAAAGATTCAATCTTGCCCTTGTTCGCTCAGTTTCGTTGCTGTTCACAGCTTGTGACTAGGCTGAGTGAGCGGCCCTGTTAATCCTCTTTCTTTAACATGTGTGGCAATTATTGTCATAGAATAATAGAGTTGGAAGTACAGATATTTGGACTGTGGTAGTAAGAGGTAATAGAAACTGAAGAGAAAAGAGGGAGGAAAGAAGAAAAGGAAGGGAAGGAAAGGGACGGCAAAAGAGAAGAGAAGAGAAGGAAAGGAAAGGAAAGGAAAGGAAAGGAAAGGAAAGGAAAGGAAAGAGGAAAGGAAAGGAAGAGGAAAGGAAAGGAAAAGGAAAGGAAAAGGAAAGGAAAGAAAAGGAAAGGAAAGGAGAGGAAAGGAAAGGAAAGGAAAGGAAAGAGGAAAGGAAAGGAAAGGAAAGGAAAGAGGAAAGGAAAGGAAAAGAAAGGAAATGAAAGGAAAGGAAAGGGGAAGGATAGAAAAGAAAAAAGGGAAGGAAGGAGAGGGAAGGGGAGGAGAGGAAAGGAAAGGAGAAGGATAGAAAAGAAAGAAGGGAAAGAAGGGGAGGGGGAGGAAAGGAAAGGAAAGGAAAGACGGAAAGGAAAGGAAAAAGGGACGAGAAGGGAGAGAATAAGGGGAGAGGAGGAGAAAGAGAAGAAAAGAAAGAGAAGAACCAAAAATAACTGAAGCGTCAGATGCGCGCCAGCCCAACACAGGTTTCATTTAAACATTCATTTATCTTTTCAGGGACTCCGATTTTAAAATAACAATGGGTTTTAAAGGCTTTAGGTAGCCTTGGGGATCAAAATGGCTCGCGAAGCTCTCCCCCACAAGGTCCCCTCCTGGATCTACTGGAATGGGAGGTTGTTGAGATGATAAGGGAAATACACCCAACCCTGGAAAAGTTCGGAATAAAATGTGCGTGGAAAAAATGGCACCCCAGGGGGGTGTAGTTCCCTGCAAAATCAGAAGGAAAATTCTTCTTCTTTATTTACATTTCATATTTCTAAACTGCCCATTTCCTTCCAAGTTTTTCTGTTAGCTTAATGATGATGATGATGATGATTATTATTATTATTAGTTATGACTTCCTAGGAAAAACAAGCCTGTTGAGATGAAATTGCGTGAACAGAAAGATTTGTGTGTTCGGAGCTTGTTCCCTCCAAATATTCCTGTCTGTTGATGTTTTTTGTCGATGTTTTTCCTTCTCTCCTTTTGATTTCGCTCCCTGACCAAGGAATTTATGACTCTCTTTTTTTTTTTACAAACGGCTTTCCATTGTGTAATTTCCTTCTCCCCTGCTTAACTCCAACATGATGACAAGCTGCAATTATGGAGTAATGTTTAGGGATTCGGGAGGGGTGAGAAATCTTTAGACGTAAACAGTCTAGCCTTGAAAAGTCCAGGATGAACATGTGAGGATCTTGTGATCCTGTCTGTGCAACCTTGCTCATTCGATTGCGTAACAGAGTCAGAAGGGACCCTAGAGATCTTCTAGTCCAACCCCCTGCTCAAACAGGAGACCTTACCAATCCAGACAAATCCGTTGTCCAGTCTCTTCTTAAAAACCTCCAGTATTGGAACACCCACAACTTTTAGAAGCGATTTGTTCCACCGATTAATAGTTCTCACTGTCAGGAAATTCCTTCTAAGGTCCATGTTGCTTCTCTCCTTGATTAGTTTCTATCCGTTGCTTCTTGCCTTGCCTTCTGGGGCTTTGGAGAATAGACTGACCCCCTTCTTCTTTGGGGCAGCCCCTCAAATACAGGAATACTGCTATCGTGTCACCCCCTTGTCCTTCTTTTCATTAAACGAGACATGCCCAATTCCTGCAACCGTCCTTCGTATATTTAGATACAGATAGATACCGATACAGATTAACAGAGTTGGAAGGGACCTTGTAGGTCATCTAGTCCAACCCCCCACCCAAGCAGGAGACCCTACACCATTTCTGACAAATGGCAGTACAATCTCCCCTTGAAAGCCTCCAGTGATGAAGCTCCCACAACTTCCGAGGGAAACTTCTGTTCCATTGGTGGATTGTTCTCACCGTCAGAAAATTTATCCTTATTTCCAGGTTGAATCTCTCCTTGGTCAGTTTCCATCCATTATTCCTTGTCTGGCCTACAGGTGCTTTAGAAAATAGCTTGACCCCCTCCCTCCTCTCTGTGACAGCCCCTCAAATATTGGAAGGCTGCTCTCCTGTCTCCCCTGGTCCTTCTCTTCACTAGACTAGCCAAGCCCAGTTCCTGCACCTCTTCATCCTATGTCTTAGTTTCCAGTCCCCTAATCATCTTAGTTGCTCTTCTCTGCACTCTTTCCAGAGTCTTTTTTATAATGTGGTGACCAAAACTGGATGCAGTACTCTAGGCGTGCCCTTACTAAGGCTTCACTGGCAATTCTGATTTTATTTTTTATTTTTTTAACTATACTTTATTAAACTTTTATTACATTAAAAACATAAAAAAAGAAAAAAAAATATCACTCAACAACAGCAACAGCATGATGACAATAATTTGTGCATTATTTACAGATATTAAATTAGGTGTAATTACATTCTTATTTATTTATTACTATAGATAATAACTATCTATCTTTATCTCCGTTCTATCTAGTTATACCATTGTTCCCACACCTTATAAAATATCGATGTCTCTTTATCTTTTAAGCTCAACATTTCTCTATGCATGGCTGTTTCCAACATTAAGTAAAGACAATTTTGGCAGCAGTTAATATGTGTAATAGTAAGTATTTTGTACTCTTTATGTTGTTGTTTTTTTGTGGAAGATCCCCAATAGGAAGAGTTCTGGTTCTAGATCGAATTGTTCGGCAATTCGGATTTTATCGTTGCCATATTTTTCTCTCCTCAGCCAGCAGTGAAAAACAAACAGGGAAAGATAAGATACAATCCCATCCAGACCAGTTGCTTGCAAGACGCTGACCTTTCAGATGTTGTCAAGATGTCAGATGTGGTTCAAAGGTTTCATGGAGTGTGGAGTCAAAAACAGCCTTTCCAGCTCTAGCAATTATATATTTCTGGGAAAAAAAGGTTGGAAAACACCCAAAAATTGAGCAAAAACAACATTTGTGTGAAAGATTTCTTCAGCCACCCCCCCCCCCCAAAAATTACAACAAATCCTTGACTTAAAGCCCCAATGGAGCCCCAAAGTTTATCTTGTGAAGTGAGACATTGGTTAAGTGAGTTTTGCCCCATTTTACAACAGTTGTTAAGTGAATCACGACAGTGGTTAACTAAGTCACACGGTGGTTAAGGGAAGTTGGCCGGGGAATTCTGGGAGATGAAGTCCACAGGTCTCAAAGTTGGCCTGATTGAGAAGGTCCGTTGTCAAAAACCACATTTCCCTTCGTTTCTTCTTCCAATCTTCTGCACTGGGTGTTGGTGGTCCCTCATGATGGGCAGGGATGTCCCATGGATCTACAGAGGGCCAGGCTTGGGGAAAGGGGCCTTGGGGGAGGTATCCCCCTTTGGGAAGGACCCCCTAAACCGAGATTGACCAAGATGATGGTTTAGAGAGAAGACCCGTGCAATCCAGGAGCGTTTGTGTGCCTGAAGTCAGAACTTTGGAGCGGTTGCTTAGGAACGTACCAATTCTTCTAAGGTTCAACATCCATGAAGTTCTCTCCCCCCACCCCCACTCTCTTCCTGGACCTGCTCTCCCCCCCCCCTCCACAACTTTCTCTTGTGGGGTGAAGTCTTTCAACGGGTCACCCCTTGTCCTTCCGGGGGGGTCCCAGATGAGTGAGGGGGCGGCCATGAACTCCAACTCTTTGCTCGAAGTGAAGATCCTCTTTTGGTGAGATGAGAAGAAGGCGCCCTGGGTGAGGGTGTGTGTGTGTGGGGGGTGTCTTGTGGGTCTTGTCCTCTTCCAGGAGAGACCGCTGAAGGGTGGGGAGGAAGGGTCACCCCCCAAAGCCTCCCGTAGGGCAGTTCGAACATTTAGAAGGAAGGGATGGAGAGGCAAAGATCCTACAAAGCGTGGGAGATAGGTTGAGGTTTTGGATTTTCTTGCTCCCTGGGTGGGGAGAGGTTTGTGTAGTTGTGTACTGTGTGTGTGTAGATGAAGTAAGTAGATGAAGCTGCTTTTAGGGTGGCTAAAATTTGTTTTCCTGCCTTCCTAATTCTGATTTGGAATAGTTGGTGGGGAGGTTTGAATGCTTTCAGATCTTTGTTCTTATCTTGAACTGGGTTTTTTTCTTAACTATCTCCTTCCTTCCTCCCTCCCTCTCCTCTTCTTTTCCTATCTTTCACTCTTTTTCCTTCCTTCCTTCTTTCTTTCATCCCTCCCTCTCCCTCTTCCCTTTCTTCTTCCCTTCCTCATCTTTCTTTCTCTTCCTTCTTCCCTCCCCCTTCCCCTTTCTCTATTCCCTTCCCTCTTGCTTGCTTCCTTGCTCTTTTTGTTCCTTCCCTCTTCCTTCCTTTCCCCTTCCTCTTTCTCTTCTTCTTTTTTTTCTTCCTCACTCCATTCCTTCCTCCCCACCACTTACTGCCTTCCTTCCTTCCTTCCTTCGCTCCCTCCATTACATCTAGCTGTACCTCTTTTCTCCCTCTTCTTCCTTCCTTTCTTCCTTCTTTCCTTCCTTCTTTCCCTCCATTACATCTAGCTGTACCTCTTTTCTCCCTCTTCTTCCTTCCTTTCTTCCTTCTTTCCTTCCTTCTTTCCCTCCATTACATCTAGCTGTACCTCTTTTCTCCCTCCCTCTTCCTTCCTTCCTTTCCTTCCTCCCATCCATCATCTGGCAAATTGATCTTCCATCTTCTTCTTTCTTTTCTCCTTCTTTGCAGAGGTTCCTGAGGATCGAGAGCTCGGGTAAGTAAGTCCCTCTGCGTAGCGCCCCTCCTGCCTCTTGGCCCTTCCACCCCTTCTCCCCCACTAAAATATCCCAAATTACTTCTCTTCCCTTGGGGTGCCTAATTCCTTCAAGCCTTGATGCCTTTCGGTCCTTTTTAATATTACACAAATTAATATCCCTTCTTTTTAAACCTAACCCGTCAGAACATATTCTCCTGTTTCTTCCATAAAGCTATGGTGGACTTGAAAATAACCTTCCTTTTCCTTTTGGTAGGCATTTTTTTTTGGAATAATAACGATAACAAACACCAGCAAAATAATTGGCTAAGACTTGAATTGTTGACTCTCTCCCCCAGCCTTAGATTGAATATTAGACGGTAGATTGACCTCACCCGTTATAATGCTGTGTTCTGTTTTTCTCAGTTCATGCAGATTAAGCAAATCTTAGAGAAAAAATTCCCGAACAAACTGGACATTGTAAGTGAGTTGTGGCGGAGCCAATGCGGAAGGGGGTGGGGTGGACTCGGTGTAAATCCATCCGTGGTCTTTTAACGGTCCCCCCAAAACACTTCGTTCCTATCCCAAATCTTGACTTGGAATAAATCTGAATTAAACTTTGCTTGCTTTCGGTATTGGACTCCAATGTTTTAGCAAAGCACTCCGAAGCCCCCTGTGTAAGCTGTCCTAAATGAATTATTACAGTCAAATACAGGTCGTCCTCAGAATCAGGATAGAGCTGAAAGGGGCTTTGGAGGTCTTCTAGTCCAGCCCCCTGCTCCATCAGGAGATCCTATCCCATTTCAGATGAGTGGCTGCCCAATCTTTTCTTTAAATGCAGTGATGCAGCCTCCACAACTTCTGGTGGCAAGCTGTTCCCCTGGTTAATCGTCCTCCCTGTTAGGAACTGACAGTTCTCCTTAAATCCAAGTTGCTTCTCTCCTGGGTTCATTTCCATGCATGATTTCTGGTGCTTTGGAAAATAAGTTGACCCCTTCTTCTTGGTGGGGCAGCCCCTCAATATACTGGAATGCTGCTATTATGCCCCCCACCCACCACCCACCCCCGTCCTTCTTTTCTCTAGACTAGCCAAAACCCAAATCCTGCAGCCGTTCTTCATACGTTTTAGTCCGCAGGCCTTTAATCATCTTAGTCACTCTTCTCTGTGCTTTTCCCAAAGTCTCAACTTAAAACAGCTAAAGTTAAAAAAACGGCACTGGAAAAAAAAGTGAACGGTGACCGTTTTTCACACTTACGACCGTTGCATCGTCCCACAGTCATCCGGATTAAAATTCAGATGCTTGGCAACTGACTCGTGTTTACGACGGTTGCAGTGCCCCAAGTGTACGTGTGTGTGTGTGTGTGTGTGTGTGTGTGTGTGTGATGCAACCACCTTTTGGGACTTTGAGGGGGAAGCCTGATTCACTTAACAACTGTGTTACTGATTGAACAAGACATCCGGTGATTCGCTTAACAGCAGAAGCAAGAAGGGCCTTTGAGCGGGGCAAAACCTGCTTCACACCACTGTCTCGCTCAGCAACGGACGTTCCCGTTGCAAGGCAAGGATTACCTGTAGTTGGAAAGGTTGGCCTGGGATTTCCCTTCCCACCTTTGCATCCTCTGAGACCCAAACAGCTCTCCTTGTTTTCACAACAGCCTTGTGAGGGAGGTCAGGGTGAGAGAGAGAGAGAGGGAGCAGCTGCTCTGAGGTGATTACACCTGATATGTCCTGTTTTTCTCCTTCCCATCACTTTGTTTCCTCTCCAGACGGGAGAAGTTGCTGAGGGTGGGACCTTCGAAGTGGTTCTGCCAGAACCCGATATAGTTTTGCATTCCAAGAAGGTGAGGAGGGAATTTTTTTCTTTTGACTGTGGAAAAAGGGGCCAAAAACCAACACTGAACTGTCTGTAAGGGCCCTTGGCGCTCCCTGGGCTTGGTTTCCTTGCAGACGTTTCGGGACCCAACTAGGTAACGTCATCAGGGTTAGAAGGGAGTGGGGTTTGTGGAGAGGAGGAGGAGGAGAAATAATAATAATAATAATAATAATAATAATAATAATAATAATAATAA